ATCTCTGCTGGCATAGAAATAAAATAAACAAACTGGGACACTAGTAGAATAATCAGCTTTTAAAATCCTTGGGTTTTTTTATATACTGCTTATTTTTTATGAGACTTCTTTAACTCAATTTGCCACATATAGATTTAGCTCCCAGCTATTTCATTTTTCACGTGGCATGTTATCAACAATTATTGTATCAGAGTTCCATGAAATAAGGAGGAGATGGGAAAATTTTAAATTACAACATTTCTCATGTAAGAAACACTAACATTCTTTTGGAGGACTGTCCATACTCAGCACTCTTTCACACCAATCCCAGGGAGAGTGGTAGGAGTAAACTACACAACTCCAGAAGAAAGAAGGAGTTGGATGAAACCAGAGTTTAAAAGAAGCCACTTGGACTTTTGCTATTGACTTGAAAGGGACCAAGACGTATCCAGAGAGTTAGTGAAGCGGAAAGGATGAATGGGAATGGAAAAGGCCAGTCTGACAGGAACAAATTGTTTTGGAGAGATGAGTTAATTTTTGACAATCTTTCTGTTAAAACAAAATAGATACAACCCAGAGCAAAGCACTCGAGTCGCTGCGGAGCATTTCATATTGACCTTTTCAGAACTGAACGCTTCAGTTAAGTAAGACATCCACATCCTTCCATAAGGAACATTTTGCGGTGGTTACAGCAAAACTAAGCTTCTGCAGAGATGGAAATAATCTTTCTCCATCACACTATTGTTTTGTGATTAAATTCCTTTTTTTTCTTTTGTACTTAAGCATTTTCATTCTATCTTATTGAGCAATTTTTCTTTTGGAAACTGCAGAGTTTCTTCTGGAAGAGCGCTCCGCAAGGACACCCCTGGGATCCTGCACCCGCAGCGGTACAAGGGCAGGGACTGGGCTCATGGCAGGCAGCCACTGGTGCTGTACAGAGGGGAAAACCCCACCTCAAGCCCCAGTTCCTTCCTGCCATAAGGCAGTGGAGCTTGTGTGAGGCTGCTCAGAGATGCTGGCTGGGAAAAGGCAGCAGAATCCTCGCAGGGCAGGCGGCGCTGGGCAGCGAAGCTCTGCCACCCGTCCCGCCTTGTCAGCGCTTGAAAGGCAACTCCTGCAGCTCCGGCAGAGCTCTGCTGATTAAGGCTGCCAGAGGGAGCAGGGGAATTTCTGCTCCAGCTTGCAGCTGCATTTTTAAAACTTGGCTGTGTTCTTCATATAGAGGCAAAGTTCAAAGAGGCAGAACATTATTCAACATGAGTAAAACATGGTCTTTTAAGATACACTTTCAAACAGCGGCACGTTAAATCAAAACAACTCATGGAGGGGGAGAGCAAGGAAGAAAGATGGTCCTGTGGAAAAGGAAATCCTGCATCACTACTCCTGTTCTGCATTTTTGGAAGGGTCTGCATTTATACATTTAAATTGTCAGCTGCTTGACCTGAGGCTAGATAAGCTAGAAATGCATTAAACTGTCTCCCAGAGAGAATAAAAAAAAAGGAAAGAGATGCAATTCAGTTTAAGAGCCAGCAAACATCTTAGGATGCACAGGAGCCAGGCTGCAATATGTGTTCACACTACAGAGAAGTTCACCAAGAGTGAGCTCCTGATTTCAAGAACACTACGCTATGGTGCAAGACACTATTTCAATTAAGTTATTATAATCTTAACCAGCAACAACAACCTATTACAGTTAATAATACTTGATGATTTCTTTTCTACTCCTGTCAAGGGTTGCTTCAAGGTGACTCACAGAGAGCACACTCCTTGGGAACCCAGGCTGAGTGCTCTGCAGACTGGGAAGCCCCTTCACTTAAACTCCATCAGACTGTCTAATGAGTCTCTTCACATTGCTGCCAATTCTTTTAGCTCTTGGACAATTTTGTATATTTATATTTCAGGCTAAAGTAAACTTGCTTCTGTGAGAGGCCAAGTGCCCAGCAGTATCACACCATGCTGTGGGCTGGAGCACGGCTCTTTCCTGCATTCCCATTTCTTGGGTTCACTCTACCCTCTGGCTTATTCACTGTTGAGTCAGTAGGTCACACCCTTACTTGGCCACCCTCCATCCCCTGCTGTGGCCAGGCACAATTTCCAGCTCCCTGGCAGGGTCAGAGATGAAGCACCACACTGTGTTCCAGCTGAATGCACCCCAGCCCTAAGTGGGGACCGTGCTGTGCTTCATGGCACAGAGTCCTCCAGAGGCACAGCCCTGCCTGCTGTGCCCACACACCGCGGGCCTTTGCTTCACCCTGTACCCTGGCTGTGCTGTGACAGCACCGCAGAGCCCCTTCCTGCTCACTGGAACGGGATCTGCTCTATTGATCCTGCTAAAGCCTTACTGGGGCTTTCCCTGCAGCTCAAGGTCACTGCACCCTGCTCAGCCTGTGCCTAATAGCATATTTTTGATGGTGTTGCTCTGCAAAATTTCCATTGGTAGGGATTGAGCTCCATATGTCCTTTTTTATCTGTTTGTGGTTGGTTTTTTTTTTAAATCTGTGCAAAATCCTGACTGACTCCAAACATTCACTGGCTGCTCACTCTAGTTACCCTTAGAGTCAGCATTTATTTGGGACACTCTATAATCCAGCTACTTTTCTCATCAGAGGTGTGCAAATTTATTAAAAACATTGCAGATACTGTCATAATCAAGTAATCCTGCATTTTTAATCACAGCCATTATAAATGGGCATATGGAATATGCGAGAAATAACAATTGCACAGGGTATCCAGGGAAGCATTTTCAGTCCTCAGGCACAGTTCAACAGCAGTGAGTAGTGGAAAATAAGTGCTGAACTGTAACATATAATAAGATTTTTTAGTTTGTTTGAAGCATGGATATACACACATATGCAGATATATTTTTATAGATGCATATACATATCTAACTTCCTGTTGAATCAGTAATGAACACATTCCGCTGTTATCTCGAAGAATATGCAGTGTCTTTCATTTGTCAACCACTGCCACAAATAATCATGAATTCTGGCCACATATTTCTTGCAATGGCTGGTGTGGTATTTCCTTAGTTATCTTAATACTGTGAGGCATCTTGAACTAAAAAGTTTCTAAATTTTTGCAAGATCTATGCTTAGTTAAATACATTGTCTAGACTTGTCTCTGCACAAAACAGGGACACATAACTGTGAGGCAAAGGAGAAGCACTTGGATATCACCAGTAACTCCATGACCTCTCTATCACTTTCTCAAAGGCACAAGATCGTGTTTCTTGCCAAGTACATGGAATGAGGGCCTCCGATACCCAATTCCTAAGAGGCTCTACAAAAGTAAAGAACAGAAATTCAATACTAATATAAACCTTTAAAAGAATACCGATTAAACGGGAAAGAGAGAAAAAGAACCCCCAACCAAATACATCAAAGACAAATGTAATTGCTTTTGAATAAAAACAGATTGCTTTCTACCTTCCTGCCTTAAAGGTAAGCACTCCAGCCTGGGATACAGAATACCAAAAATCACTGCTGGAAGCACAGGCACAAGTATTTTGTAGGCAAAGTTATCCTATTCTGATTTAATAGCTCAAAGGCTTATCTGGATTTCAGACAAGAAGAGGATGCAATTTACTGCTTGTTTCACACAGACGAACAGAGCTCGTTAAAACATTTGGGAACACTTTGAATATTGATCTGTCCTCGAATAAGATGTAAGAAATTCGTTTTGCTATGAAAATGTATCAATCTTCAAACCTTGATATGCCCCAAAATGGCCTTCAAATGAAAGCTGTAAAATCCTCTGGGAAGATGCCATTAAAGCCATCAGCTCAGGGGCGTCTCACATCCCCTCCTCCAAGCAGGACTGGGATCAGGACTTTGAAGCTGGGACATCACCACCCAAAGCGATCAGGGAGGGAGCTCTACTCGTTCTTTCCACAGAAATAAAGTCACGTTCTGTCCCCACTCTGTGCCACCACAGCCTCCCGTTCCTCACCGTGCTGGAAGACAATCAATCACGGCTGCGAATCACCTTGTTAAAAACAGTGCCCACCGGAGACTTCCCCGTGACACCTCCGGCAGCGGAGACACCGTGATAAATGTTTGCTGACACAAACCAAAGTCACAAGGTATTTAACCCCTCAGCTGGCAAACAACCGAGCATACAATGTGCCTAGGAAAAATCTCCCTCAGATTTCAGGAGGCTTCCAATTGTACTGGTGCTACAGGACAATTTAAGTTCAAAGAATGGATACGCTCATATTAGTTACACTCGGCAACGACCCACAACAACCCTGCTACCATTTTGGAAATAAAAAATCAACTTTATAGTTGAAAACAGAACATTAAAGATCCTTATACCTCTGGTTTTTTTCTAGCACATAAACATGTCCACGTAAAAATCATCACTTTTCCACATACAGCTTACACCACCGCTAATTTTTCACCCATAAACTTTCTGAAATTGTATTTCAGGGTTTTCCCCGTTTCACCCTCCGTTAGAAAAGTCTGTGGGAAGAGAGGATGAGCCTGCAATTTCAGTGGAAATATTCCCCCTTCTGCAACTTTGCATCAGGCCCCACGTAAGAAAGTATTTTCTGCACACCTTGGGACACAGACTTATTTGGAGTCTGACTGGATGCCAGATATTGAGTTGGCAAATGACTGGATTAAATGTCATGGAGGCGGATATTCAGCATTTCAGACACAGGGTCAGTGGAAGGCCACTGCTGGGCTGGCTTTCAGTGCTCTGTAATTAGAAAACCAGCCCTCTACGTGCATAATGAGCATATGAGAATGGCAACACAGAGCAGATCTCTGAAAAACTGCTGTTTTTACAAATTCCACAGCTAGGAAGGGACCACCAGGATCCAGGTTCCCTCCAAACCAAGTCTGCACTTTGTCTTCAGAAAGAGACACAAGACTCTTCTCACCTTCATCAGTCTTCCACAAAGAGCCAGGAAGAGCAAACCTTTCCCTCATCCCCTCTATTCCAAGAGCAGGCTAAGCCACCACACCAGATGAATGGCTGAGAGCCAGTGAAACTTTAAGACTTTTTTTTGACTGTACCTGGTTTAGAGCCTTCATCAACAGATCCATTATAGACTTGGTTGATGAACTCCGGTCTGTTGTCATTCATATCAATCACATAGATGTAAAGGTCAATAGGATTCTCCACCTTGTTTCCATTCATATCCACTGCATGAGCCCGGAGCTGGGAACAAGCACAATGAAAGCACAATATCAGCAATTGGATTTGTTGCAGAGTAAGAGACCGTTTTGCAAGGATTGACTTTACCTCATAAATACTTTCTCAAAATTCAATGGAGTAGGTATCTAATTCCAGCAGAAAGCACTGCCATAGTTTCCATCTAGACTCTACCCACAGACAGCTTTTCAGGGCTTAACATAATACTGAAATAATATTTTAAAACTGCGATTGTCAATGGAAACACTTTAACTCTGGTGCAGTGATGCTATCTCCTTCACTGCTCACAGACCACTGTATTTTAATTTTTAAGCCACGGTGAACTTTGCCTGACAGTCTGAAAAGCAAATTTTGCTTAGTTCCAAATACGGCGAGGAAATGAGTTTGAGCGAGAGGTTTCTTATGGGAATCTGCAGCCTTTCACACCCACAATAACAGGGATTAATAGTGAAGAGATTTCAGACTGACATTAGTAGTGTTTATTGTTTGTTTAATCATGGTCTCTAGGAACAGCAACAGCTACCGACCCCATGGCTCCGTGCACCAAAAGACATTTAAAAAGTCCCTTTCCCTCAAATAATGGGAGCCCCTGTGACATTAAGAATGAAATATTTTCCTCAGGCTTGACTAAAATACCCAGTGCTAATGCATTTCAATAACCACAGTCACAGTGTTAAGCCCTCAGTTAAAATGGAACTGCAGCTTTATCTTATTAGCAATAACCATCAGTAATAATGCCCAAAAACAAGAGCATCTGTTTTCTGAACAGGAGAGACAGATACAGCATGTCAAAATGAGTAATTAATAAAACAAAGCAATCAACAATACTCAGGAACAATCAGTAACCAGGTGAAAAAAATGGATAGCTTTCTCATTAAAGGGAACAGATGGCTACTCTGAGTGGTGTGTGGCTGAATGCGCTGCCGACGCCGGCTTCGGGAAAACTCTGACGGCAAGGGAAGAGCTGCACGGCCCCCGACCATGGATGGCAGCAGGGAGGCACTGGCTGGCTGTGAGCACTGCAGACTCTGGCTATCATCCCTCTTCATTTCAGCCTCTGTGAGCACTGCTGAGCCTCCGCCCTGCCACAAGAACTGGGGACAGCACTTGGGATGGCTGTGTGACATCCAGCAAGGCTGGTGGGCTGAAGAATGAAGGCTTCAGAGGACATCAGCTTCACAGACTCACAGAATCACAGAACGGTTTGGTTTGGAAAGGACCTTAAAGCTCATCTAGTTCCAACCCTCTGTCACGGGCAGGGACACCTTCCACTAGACCAGGTTGCTCCAAACCCTGTCCAATCTGTCCTTGAACACTTCTAGGGATGGGGCAGCCACAGCTTCTCTGGGCAACCTCTTTGTGCAAGGGCTGGCTGGGAGAGTGGGGCTGAAGGACAGGGAATGCATCAGCTCGTGCCATCCAGAGGGATGGAGGCCTCTGGTTACTCCCAGCAGTTCCCTGCACCATCGGGCTGCTGCCGGGAGTCAGAGCTGACATGCCAAGGAGGTCTCAGCTCCTCTGATGCATGACAAATAAATGTGCTAATTGCATTAGCACTGGTTCCTGTCTTTTGCTCTCGCTGTGTAGGTGATTGATGCAACTTTCTCCTTCATGTACAGTGCTCAGAAGTCCGGAGCTTTAACAAAAGAGACTGCACACCATTAGGATGGGCTGGCTTAACATTTAATCAAGCAAAGAGAACAAACTGCCACGTGAAATGAGCTGGGAGAAAAACATTTTTTCTAGAAGAAAGTTAAGCAGCACTTTTTCTTTAAAGCCTGAGGAAGTCCGGCTTTGCTTTCAGTACAGGATGTACCATTTGTATTTCATGAGTTGCAATGCTCTTAATATCTGCATTTCTTGACTGCATACGAACTGCTTTGGCTCCCACCTGTTGAGCTATCCTTCATCATGTCAGATGTAGCAATTCAATAACTTTACAGTCAGAGGTCAGACTGTCTTTGAAAAAAAGTAATTCGGAGCTAAAATTAAAGTTATTATCTTCAAACTGAGGCAGCACCGGGCCCTCTCTTACAGCATTTCCAGCAGCGGAAATGGTTCCATTCAGAGATAAAGCAGAGAGCAAAGCTGGTATCTCCCCCCTCAGATCTGACTCTCCCCCTGCAAATTTTTAATTAGATTTGATAGCTTTTGTTTGAAATCTCCAGGAGTAAGGGATTTCTCAGCAATGCACATCTATCTGCTTGTTGCACTCACTAAGCACATGTATCCATCTACGCATTGCTGCCTGCACTCAAGGAAAAAAAGATTCAATAAGCAAGACTGCAGGAATCTCATCAAACCTGGGTGACATGCTCAAGTGTCACCTCTGTCCTGAGTCCTCAGCACTGGGCTGAGTTATGTGAGGGAGGGCAGTGGTGAGGCACACTGGTGTGGGCACTGATGTCCTGACTAACAGCATCTGGGGTGTCAGGAGGATGGCACATGTCCCCAAACCCAGTGCAGCAAAGCCTGTGCCTCTCTGGCCTGGGTTGTACCGGGGTCTGGGTGTCCATAGCTGCTCCTCTTCTGCCCTCAGTTGTTCCTGCTGCCCTTTCTGCAAAAGTTCTTTCTCTCCTGCTCCATTTTTACCTGATCTCAATGAATGTTTCTATTTTTTTTTCCTCTTGTTCCTGCTTCCATTAATTTTCTCTATCTGTACTCTTTTAACAACTCTCATGTGCCAATGCCTCCACAACACACGCTTCTCTGTGGACAGTGCCAACCATGGCAGAGGGAGAAGGGAGTCCTGAGCCAGAGGGTTGAATTTCAACTCAGCTCAATGGGAAGTCTTCTTCTTAGAGACCATTCCTCATTAGACATCATCCTCAGCAGAGAGAGCAAACAAAGGAGAGACTCCAGGGGAGCAATCTGTCTACTGGGAAGCTAGCTGGATCTCCAAGGCAGATCAGATACTCCATTTCCCTTCCTTAATTCATCTTCTCCCTCGTTCTCCTGTCGTCCTTTTTGTATTCAGGAGGCTGGAAAACACACGTTGTTCTGGAGTCATTCTTCAGACACCAAGATGGGGCTCATTTCTGTGAGGCACAGCCTGAGCCCACATGGTGCCCCACGGCTCAGGCTGCCACCTGCCCCCAAGCAGGTATTTTGGTGGTAGAGTGATGGAGAGGGTGAAAAGCGGATGCATGTGAGTGCTTTGTAGCACTGGGCAAGGCACAAAAGGTGATGACTGAGCTCTATCAGACACACATGTCATTTTGAGATGGAAAACACACCAGTGAAAGGTCAGTGAGCATCACCTGGGCCACGGGACACAGGTCACGCATGAGTATTCAAATGGGAGCTGGTGGCTAGCTGAAGAGACAGTTAAGAAACATTTATAAAGTTGGTTTGAGATATTTACATTTTCCCCAAGAGGGAGAACACAACAGGAGTGAAGAAGGAATAAATAAAATCAAATGAAATACCTTGAGAAGGATTCTGAAAAATTAATACAGGTAGCCAGCTAATCTCTAGCTGATGAATCGCTCTGCTGTACACCAGCCAAGGAGCTGGCTCGATATTCTTTAACAAATATTGCTTAAAAGTATGACAATTATTGCTATCATATTCAGCAGCAGCTACCACAGGTCTCTGAGGTTTTCCTACTGACAGTTTCCAGTGTAAATGCAGCTGTTGGCATACAAATGATTCGGTATCATGATTATTGATTACACCGGAGGCTGGTGGTATCTGAAGGTAGTTAGTCAAAGTCAACACAGTGAATTGTGTTAAATACGAATATTACTTACACACTAATACTACTAATACAAATATACATTATCAATCAGTGACAGAGCCTTTAAGGAATAAGCATACAATGTCATGCCTAATTTGTGTGCTCTTAATTGTGATTAAAAGTTCCATTTAGAGCATTGTGACACAAATGGCTGGCATTACTCAACACGGTTCAAAATACTGGAATTAGCTCTTGTATCCCCTAATTTCTAGTAAACTTTGTCTCTTGGCATTTAAAACAACTCCTTCTCGGTCTATAACCCACCTGTTCTACTCCAGCCATTTCTGAGGCAGTATTTCATCAGGCTGATGTTGAAGGCACACACATATGTCTGGGACTGGATTAGGAATTGCTTCAAAGTTTCCCTAGGATGCACATTACTTGAGTATCATAAGCAATGACTACTTAGTGACACGTTTATGTTGATGTCTTTTGAAAACAGAGCTTGAAAAACGTCTTGGAAAACTAACCTACCAAGTTTCTATCCCTTGTACTTGCCAGGCCTAACTGCAGCTTAATATGAAACCGGTGTCTGGATCAGAAAAGACATTCAGAGCCACTAATTCTGTCAGCAGCACAAACGGGACTTTGGGAATGCAGTTAAATAAGGCCAAGAGAACTCATGCATATTAAATATTACTACCTGCTGAAACTTATTTGGCATGCAGGGAGCATTAGGGGCTGACTGCAAGGGGAGACGCAACACACGCCTGTTGCAGTGAGACAGCACCAACATGGAGGGAATGTGCCCCATGGCTGTGTGTCCTGTGGCTGTATGTCCCGTGGCTGTATGTCCTGTGGCTGTGTGTCCCGTGGCTGTGTGTCCCATGGTTGTATGTCCCAGGGGTCCATCTCCAGCCACAGGCACTACTGCTCATGCATCACTCAGTGCCACATGAGCAGTTCCCCACCACAACGTGGTGTTGGTTAAGTGGCTGCAAAGCCCGTTTCATTTTTCTCTGCTCGTGTTTTCAGCTGACTCTGCGTCTGGGATTGTCTGCGAGGTCCCTGGAGAGTTTGTGCTCTGGTTTGTAGTGCAGACAAAAACAGATGAGGCCAAAATACTGCTGAACTTGTGATCACTGGGAGTGCCAGCACACACGGCACCTGGACAGGGGCTGGGAGTCCCAGAGGCACATACATCTCTGCATACATCAAGCTCGGAATGATCCTCCCTAAAAGTTCAAGAATGATGTCAAAAACAGGGGAAGTTCTGCTGCAGAACTCCTGATCTAATTAGAAAAAAATCTGTTTCACCTTAGGGAATGAGGTAGGTTTCATCAGACAAATAGCTTCCTGAATGCGGGGGGAGTTAAAACACTAGTAAGTTAAAAATGGTAGTCCTGAAGCAATACAGATAATTATGCATAAGAAAATATGTGTTGAAAATGTGGGAGTTAATGAAACAGAACTCTTCATATGTAGCCCCACAAACACTTGCAAATTATTGTTCTTTTTTTTAATAATTAGTTTTTAGATTACCTGGGAATGAAAACAGCAAGGACAACACTTGACAGTGACAGAGATGCTGAAAAGCCTTGATTCTGTTCAGGGTTGCAGAAAACCTGAAGTTGTATACATGCACCCAGAGTAGGAAGCCTGTATTGGACACAGAGCCTGGGTAAGAGGGACCTGGAGCGGTGCCTTGCAGCTCCACTGACATTCTCTACCCCAGCTGAAGAGTTAAGCTACTAATCCAAGCTAAAGGAAACTACAGCACATGTCAAACCAATTTAAAGGTGGTCAAGCTCTACAGTTCAGATCCAAGCCTACACCTCAGTCACTGCTCTTCTAGCACTCACTTCAAGCCTGGCTCCATGTTGTGTTTCCTTTCAGTTAGAGGCTTGGCTATAGAAAGTGGCATAAATTCACTGACTTTTTCAGAACTTCACCAGCCAAGATTTTGGACTGTATCTTCTTTCTGGAAGCTGGCCAAATTTTTTCCAGTTTCCAGCACTGTTCACTCCTACTGCAGGTTTCTGCTCTAGTGTTTGGGTCATTGCTTTGTTCATGGTATATTTATAAATGCTTTGTGAAGAGTTAGTAAACGAACAATAAATCATCATCCACTGCTACCAAGGCTGAAGGATCTAAAGGGCATTTACAGCTACAACTTAAAACACTCTCCATCACCTTCTACTGTTCTGCTAACAAAGATTTTCTATCACTCACTATTCCTGTCTATAAGGTCTCATAACATACTTATCACTCTCTATAAAATACATTTCCTGTAACCTTCAGAGTGTGAATAAGCTTATTTACATATGGATGTCACTAGTTCAAGGTTTCTGTAAGGAACAGAAAAGGCTGGAAATCCTGTGGTATGTGCAAGGCAGACTCATCCCATCACCTTTGACAAGGCGAGAATTCAATTTACTGAATTCACTGTAACTGGTAGGGTCAGTTCATTTTTAGGGGGCACAGGATTTGTTATGATGGAGGACAAAATCTTTTTCACCTTATGTTTTTGACTGAGCATCTGATCGCAGACTTCACAGCGGCTCCCTCAAAAGTGTTAACTTATTGACTACACTGATAATAACCTGGCACTGCTGAAACAATATCAACAATGCTGAGATGACACACACTTTATCTCAAATATTCCTTTTTCAAAACAACCTCTCTTCCTATTTTCTTAGGCACGACAAACAAAATAATTGTTCTTGTTCACAGAGGGCAAAATAAAATAAAATCTTCTTTTACCCAGGGGAAATCTCTTTTTCCACCCAACTAAAGAGGTAATCTATTTTCTTTATCCTTCCACCCCAGTCCAGAAGCTGTGTCAACATGGTTAACTGGATACCTGACAAAGCTGACAGAATGTGCCTCTCCGACGGCGCAGTTCGGAATATGGTGTCAGTGGAAGTGACCTGTACCACTTCACTGACATTAGAGCAGCCCTGGAATGGCTATTACGTTGCCAGTAGATGTGGCTAAGGCTGATAGCAATCCATGAAACAACCTTTCACAACCACTCCAGGAGAGAACTAAAGCGTGGACGCAGAAAATGTTTGAAATTTTGCAGGGCTATCATGCAAGGGGTCACATATTTTCTTTTTTAGCAATCTGTGGGACTGTATCTGCTGTGCAATTACGCTGTGCAACCGAGGGGTTAGGATTTATATCAAAACGTAGCAACCAATTACACTCCAAGCATTCTGCAGGTAGAGCATTTTATGAACTAGGATAGCATGAGGCACCACTTTTGAGTGTAATTAATCTTAATTAATTCCCTCATATTTAATATTAGCCTATCTGCGTATTTAAAAACCTATCTGACACACCCCCATCATACTGCCTGAACATCTCCTAGTGAATTAAAATGAAAAATGACTATAGCAATTATTGCATGTTTAGTTGCAGTAATGATTCTTAAATTAGTAATTTCCCAAGACGTGCTAATGCAGTGACTGGCTTCTCATGGTTTTGGGTGGTTCAGTTTACACATAAATTTGCATGGATTTAACAAGCAGTGCAAAGTTGTGCCCTTTTAAACAAATGACTCTGACTTTATGTCTGAAAAGGACATCAGTGTATCACCACTGTCATAGAATCACAGAATTGTTTAAGTTGGAAAAGCCCTCTAAGATCATTAAGTCCAGCACTGCCAAGCCCACTGCTAAACCATGTCCCCAGGTGCCAGATCTACACGTCCTTTAAATCCCTCCAGGGATGGGACTCTACCACTGCCCTGGGCAGCCTGTGCCAGGGCTTGACAACCCTTTCCGCAAAGAAATTTTTCCTAATATCCAATCTAACCCTCCCCTGGCACAACTTGAGGCCATTTCCTCTTGTCCTGTCACTTGTTACCTGGAAGAAGAGAACGTCCCCAACCAGCTAGAACCTCCTTCCAGGTTGTAGAGAGCGAGAAGGTTCCCTTCCTCAAGCTTCCTTTTCTCCAGACTGAACACCTCCAGCTCCCTCAGCCACTCCCTATCAAACTTATTCTCTAGACCCCTCCTCAGCTCCCTTGCTCTTCCCTGGACATGCTCCAGCCTCTCAATGTTCTTCTTGGGGTGAGTGGCCCAAAACTGAACCCAGGATTGGAGGTGGGGCCTCACCCATGTGAGTACAGGGGGACTGTCACTGCCCTGGTCCTGCTGGCCACAGTATTGCTGATACACCCAGGATGCCATTGGCCTTCTTGGCCACCTGGGCACATGCTGGCTCATGTTCAGCTGCCACCAACCACCACTTTGCATCGGTTTGGCTGATTTAGCGCGTCCCTTCTTGAACCCAGCAAGTTTGGTGCAGTTCTGCTCTGAGCTTGTGAGCCCAGACAAAACTCCTGGTGTTTGATGCTTACGTGGTAGGAAGCTCTTTCCTCCCTGTCCATCGGGCGTGTCACGTACATCCTGCCAGACACAGGGTCAATGCTGAAGACTTCCATGGGCGGCTGGTCGGCTCCCACTCCAGTGATGCTGTACCTGATATGGATCTCTTTGTCCTTATCGGAACGAATCTGCAGGGAACAACAGAGACAGGAATCCATAAGTTCTGGACAAAAGCCAAATGGACGTTTAAGCAACTTTAAAGAACCGAGTCTGAAAGCTGCACAGATGTAACACCACTGTCAATTCTGACAAGGGAGCTGAATGCCAAAGGTTTGGAGAGAAGACATGGAAGGTGTATTCCATATAGTTTCAGTTATTTTACTCCTCTTTTATTCATGATTATTCTCTCTAGAAATCATTGAAATCGTGAATTTTTGACTCACCCAAAATGCACAAAAAACACTGTTTACATATTACTGAAACCACAGTTTCCTTAAAGTGTCCAAATTTTTCAGCCATACCCAAAGTCTCCCAGCCATTAATCACTTCTGAAAATGCTGTCTGCAAGCTCCCACATCATATTCTCGGTCCCTGTGACTGTGCACACAAATACTCCCATGAAATTTGAAGAACAGGGCTGTTTGCTCCCTCTTTGTCCAATTCTGCTAGCTTGACAAGGCCAGGTTGAGAAACCCCAGTGGGATATTACCATTTCATGTGATTATTTGCTGAGGAGAATGATGTTTTGGACACTGTTTCTGAAAGCCCTTCCCTCCCATGCCTTGCAAACAACACTGCAAACCAAGTACAGCACAACGAGTTACATGAACCTTGGATACAGAGCCAAGGAAAAAAAGAAGGGAGGTTAATATGTTGTCCTAGCAACCCTGACTATCTCTTTAAAACACAAATTTAATTTTCTGATCAAATGCTGAAAGAAGTTCTTGCAACAGCATGACTATTCCCGAAAGAAAGTGCAAGGCACAAATAAATTACCACCCCCCCACCATCACAAACTGTCTTGGCACTGCAAAAGCGATGTGCATAATTTCTTCCCTAACAGGTCTATGAATACAACGAAGTAGTGGGAAGATAATAGAACCCTAGTAGCTGAGTGCATGTTATCACCTCTGCTATGGCAGCTGCACACTTGGAGTGTGCTCAGTGGGTGCAGGAGACCCTGCGTCCCCCAAACAGCCCCAGTTTGGGGAGCAAGGGTCCTTTCCCAAGGGAAGAGGAGGCTTTGCTTGTCAGGAAAAGGGATTGAGAAGGGGCTGTGGGCTGCTCTGCACTCCCCCCATATGTGACCTATTGATATTCCTTCCTCTCCTGAGGCAGGAGGCCGACGAGGTGCTGAAGGTGTCGGTGCAGAGCAGTATCAGATCCCTGGCTCTGAAACTCTCCTTTGATACCTTTGTCCAGATCATCATCAAGTTTATACACTGTTTTCTTTGTACTGCCTCCACCAAACCGTCCGTTCCCGTTAACAGCTAATCATGTCACTTATTACAAGACACTGCCGGGATTGATCCGCGCGGCACCTGCGCTGCTGGAGCTGAAGGTCAGGGAACAGAGACAGTTTCATCTGTCTTTTCTCTGAAGGATTCACTGCTTGTTACACTATTAGAATCGAGGAAAACTGATTGGACTTACACTGGTATAGTCACTTAAAAAAGGGACTGGGAACACTGAAAGTGCCCTCACGATGTTACATGGGTTTTTGTGGGCCTAGTGGGTATTTGCAACAGAGACCCAGGCAGACAGGCATGAATCCAATTTCCATTAGCAAATCTGTGGGTGAAGAAAGGTATATTAAAATCAAGGTTTGCTTGCACAGCTGTGGTTTTAATGACGAAAGCCGACTCCCCAGCTCAATAACTGAAGACCACAGCCCCCATTTTCAGAAGGTCAGCCCTCACCCTGCCAGAGGAAAGGGCTGGAAATCAAACTGGTTTCAATGTCTGTGCAAATGCACAGCTCAAGTCAGGGAGTTCAACATCCAACCCACTATGTCCACAGCTGAGCTTATATTAAGTGATAATCAAGGAAGACACTGTTGGACACCCAGCTTTGAGCCAGAGTGGGGTTCCCACCTTAGAAATTAAAAAGGGTAATGTGGGACACACAGCTGTGTGTCTTCATCAGTGTCAGTCTGCACAGTTCCAAAGAATCCATAACGTAAATTTTTCCTTAACAAAGGTGGAAAAACTTACAACAAACCAACCAAGGTATCTCCACTTTTCCTGCCTTTTTGCTCACTGGAACATGGAAACTGGGAGGGTCTCCCCATCCCCAGCCTGGCTCAACTATGGCTGTACTTGAGCACAAGCACCAAAGAGCTAATCAGTCTCTCCAGAGAACCAAAATGGAAGCAGTTTTAACCCGAATCTCAGAAGAGGAGAGTCTGTTAGTTCTTCATGGACATTTTTCTGCTCTATTTCCTGTTGCATATAGTACCCAGATCCCATTGTGATAGAAGCATTAGAAATGCATAGAGAGAGACAGAAGCAGGGGAAAGGAGCCTGGATTTAAATATTCAGTGCTAAAGGCACTATATTTTATTTTCAGGAAACGCAGATAAACAGAAGCTCTCGAAGAAAGCTATGTATAGTTTAATAAAGTGTACGCTATAGGATGTCCTTGCAGCACTTTTATTAGCATTAATAGGGTCTAAGCTGTCTGTATGTAAATCATTGCAGATCTAGGAGATGGAATATATCATAAGACCCACACGATTTACCAATTATACTGAGAGAAATCCATGAGCTAATTATACTGCATTGAGCAAAACAAAGATGGGGGAAATATGCTGCAAATATTCAGCAGTGACTCGTTATTTGCTGTTAATTGTGATCATAACACAATGGTCTGCCTGTTGCCTGTACTTAAATCCATTTTCAGTAAGAATACAAGGGTGTGAAGTGTGCAGAAAAAAATCATGTAAGAAGTAGCACTTGTCACAGAAAGTTGCAAAGACCATTCACAATGAAGCATAGTACATATTACTACCAGGGAGATATTTATCACACACATGCTTTTTATATTGGAACATATAATTTTAGCACTCTTAATGAGATTTAAAATAAAAAAAGATTTTTCAGTAATCCTTTAACATTTTGACCAAAGGTTTCATTTGCCTAATTCCCAGGGTGCAATTTAGTAAATCTTGTTGAGAAGTTAAGAACATTATCTGAACACAATGTAAGGTTTACTTCTTTTGTTGAAACCATTCCTGGAGCAGTTTACCATAATAATAATAATAAGAATAAAAACTCCTCTATTCCCAAAGAGCTCACTAGATCAGGAGAAAAAAAATTACTGATTGGGGGAATTTACTGGTTCAGAAGGGAGTTACTTTTCCCCTCATTTATGCCTGGGAAGCGAGAAGAGATCCATATGATAATCTTCTGACTGGAGAACACACACAAGAATTTTCCTTTCATTTATCTCTCCTTTTACAAAGCAGTCAAGAGGTATGCAGGGCTCTGGGTTACAGAACAGATGGCAGAAGGATGGTTTTCCTTAGCTGCATTTATACATTTTTTACTCGAAGAACCCTTGGAGCTTTGAGCTTCTCCACTGCCAGGCATGAGACAACTCTGCATATGATGATGTGAGCAGGATGAATGATGATGGCTGATGACTGTCATAAGGGGAATTTGCTTGTAAAGCAGCTTTTATGCTCTGAAAAACCCCTCCGGGATGGAGCTTGGAGTGGATTGTTACACTGGTGAGGGAAAATGTCCCAGATCAAAAGGCAATTTATGTTGGAAGATGCAATCCCTTGTTCCTACCCTACCTCATGGACACAGGTGGCATTTTCCATGCAGGAAACCTCACCTACTCTGACAGATACAAATGGACCATCTGGGAAATGTGGGATCAGCCACCAAAGCCCCATAGGGAACATGTTGCAGAGCCAGGCACTGCACTGGTGTTGCCAGCCCTCTGCTTGGCTGTGGCCAGCAAGGACAGGGTGGCCTTGCAGCCCAACAGTGAGTGGTTGGAGCTCAAAGCAATGATGCATCATCCAAAACAGAGCATAGGGGCTGCTGTCAATGTTTGCAACTCAGATCCAGAACGCCAAGAGTCTGACTCAGCCCTTGTTTCTATAGACTATTCCCAGAAACAGGAGAAATGGTGTGATTTCACAGATGGGCATTTTCTACTGTGGGTTCTGATATAATAACTAAAATGTGTGAAAATGAACATTGCAACTCCTGAGATAATACAGGGCTAAGCCCTTCTGAGCTGGCTTTTTCCTCTGCAGCAATGCCACATTTAGATAGAAAAGCAGCCTGTGCTTGTGGCACAGGACTGCATCCTGCTTTTACAGATAACATCTTAGGGTTTGTGCATGTCCATTAGGATTTACTGGGCAGCTAAACCATTCCCACTAGTTTTACTGGTGAATGGAATTTCAGGCACCAGATTTTGTTGCTGTTTTTCTCCTGTTGAGCCATGTCCTAATGCTCTCAGCACTTTCCTTTCTTGCCGAGGGGGTTTGAACTCACAAGCCCTCCCTCTCTCACCTTGGCAGATGACAGAAGCCACCACAGATCCCTGTAATGCTCCCATGCCAGGAGCAGGGGTGATACACTACGGAGAGCTGTGTGGTCAGCAGATTGGAGGGCACCAGTGAGATCATAAATGGAGCATGACATTGCCAGAAAAAGAAGTGTCCCGATGGAGACTGTTTAGATATCAGTAAAGGAAATGCCTGGAGGCCTAGGAAATGGGGTGTGTAAGGAAAAGCTGAACAAACAAGGACAACTGAGCCTACAGAAGAGGTGACTGTAACAACAGTGCTCCTGTACCTAAAAAACTATAGAGAATTTCATGATCCCTACATGATCTGGGTTCTGCCCATCACCATGCAACGGTAATATATGAGTGCCTGGAAATGTATCTGGAGAAAGCAAAGCAGGAAATTTATTCTCTGCTACATTTTCCTTCCACAGAGCAAACTAGAAAATAAATTTCCTTTTAAGTTCTTCATCTTGCTCTATAACATATGGAGTCAAGAATGCCCTTCAAAAAACACTTAGTTTCCCAAACCTCCCACAGAATACTATGCAACATTTGCTCTAACATGACCTGGGGATACTTAGACTTGATTTTTTTGTTTTATAAAGCCCATTATAATTATTAATGAACACATAAAATAATGTAAATGATAAGCAGTGTC